CCACCCCCCACACACACACCTCGGCCCGTGGGCTGGCGGCGGCCCATTCAGGTTCTTCATCCAGCACAGAGAGCATGTCAGTATCCTAGCACTCGGCCCCCCCCAAAAATCAGCTGGAGAAACAAACTCTTTTGCAGATGCAGAGTGGCGTAGCGCTCAATGACGAACCCGGGTAAGTCGATGCCACGTGATTCTCGGCGCCCTCCTCTTCACCGCCGCGCCCTGCCCACCGCCGCTCTTTGCTGCCCACCCTCAATTGTTTGGTACGGCACGTTGGTGCAATTTAGAGGTGGGAGGGGGCGTAAGGCCGTCAAATCCCAAGTTTAATAGAATATGAGCGCGCTATGCCGCGAGGTCTTTGTTGACCTCGTGGCCAGGCCCTTCTGGAACGTGCCGCCCATCTGGATGGATCGGCCAAAGAATGCTAACATGGCAGCCGCGTCAGAATAGCCACGGGGACGTTTGCTCTCACTCGATCTGCCGTGCTAATCTTCGCACCCTGAAACCGCTGACTTTGACCACCGTTTTGCACGTTGAAATGTGTGATTCTTGGATTCAGGTTTAGGCTGCATTACGGCGAACACATTTGGCCATCGGGTTAATGCCTTATTGCAAAGCATATGTACTTTTTGGTCTCTGAGTAAGTACTTTGCCCGGTTTGGTTTTAGAATTCTTATTAGTATGACTGTGTTGAAATGATCATTTGACTCGAGTTTAAGAAGGATGTCATCCGTTTTGAATGAGGTTGCTTCCAGTTGAATGACTTTATCTGAGACCCGCAGGGGGAGCGTGAATAGTTTTTGTTTGTTGGATTTATTTGAAACCAACTCAGCAAATGCTGTTGTATGTAGAAAATCCTTGGTGATGATTTACAATTTCACTCAAGTACCATCTTCATGTCTCTTCCGCTTTTGCTGGTGCCCAGAGAGAGATGTAGTAAATGGGGAAGGGGGGGGTGCCTTCAACACCTCCCCCTCATTTTGTATTCATTTCCACAGATGGAGAACGTCCATTGATTTGCTTTTGGTTGAAATAAGTCCAATTTGAAAAGAGACCTCAGGGACACGCCGCATTACAGGTTGCAGCGATCGATGACAGGCCCCATCCCTCGGGGAAAGTGACGTCCGAGTCGTGTTCAAATGATTTGTGCGCCGCGCTGCGACGAGCAAGCTCTCTTTTCCCACGCCGTCGTAAACGTCCGCTTTACGGATGCCGCCTCATGCTCCGGAGCCAGCGTGTCGCGGCGACGTCGCCCGCCGTTGCGCGTTGCGGTCATCTGTCATTGCAACTTCCTTGGCCATTGAGCCCAACGCGTTGGCCGCGTGCAAGTCGGATGACTGAAACGTCTGCCGCCGTGTCTGTATTCAGCAAGAAGAATAAGGATGGCCAGACGCGGGAGCAGGAGCACTCTTCGGAAAGCCATTACAGAATTGTCTCACCAACATTCCAGTATAAGATGAGCCACGGGCGAGTGGGCAAGTGCATCATCATCAACAACAAAAACTTTGATGAAAAGACAGGTACGAGAGCAAAAGAAGCACACATTTGATCTCCCCAAAAAAAAGCCAGGCTTCCGATCACACCCGCGCGTCTGCCCTCCCGCCGGCAGGAATGAATGTACGCAACGGGACGGACCGTGACGCCGGCGAGCTGTTCAAGTGCTTCAAGAGTCTGGGCTTCAACGTCTTCGTCTACAATGATCAGACCTGCGAGAAGATGGAGCGTCTCCTCAGAGAGGGTGAGCGCGGCGTTCCTCTGTGACTCCCGCAAACTTTGGGGCGTTGATTGAACTTGAAATGACGAGCCCAAATGCCAAATCCATCCCAAACGGATCCGAGTGAAGTGCGTCTGTGTGCGTTAGCTTCAGAGGAAGACCACAGCGACAGCTCGTGTTTCGCCTGCATCCTGCTGAGTCACGGCGAAGAGGGCATGATCTACGGCACGGACGGCGCCATGCCCATCAAGACCGTGACCTCGCTCTTCAGGGGGGACATGTGCAAAAGTCTGGTGGGGAAGCCCAAGCTCTTCTTCATCCAGGTAGGACCCGAGGCAAGATGGGCCGTACGCAGCGCTTCCCCGGTTGTCCCTAAGTTCTGCTTGATGGCACCAGGCCTGCCGGGGTTCCGAATTCGATGACGGCATCCAGACGGATTCGGGTCCGCCCAACGACACCCTGGAGACGGACGCCAATCCCAGACATAAGATCCCCGTCGAGGCCGATTTCCTCTTTGCCTACTCCACCGTGCCAGGTGAGCCACGTCATTCCGTCCACCCGACGTCCGACACGAGGGCTGCACCCGCAATTCTCACGAGTCGTCCCCCCGGGCAGGCTACTACTCGTGGAGGAACCCCGGGCGCGGCTCCTGGTTCGTGCAGGCGCTGTGCAACGTCCTCAACGAGTTCGGCAAGCAGCTGGAGATCATGCAGATCCTGACGCGCGTCAACTACATGGTGGCCACCAGCTTCGAGTCCTGGTCCGAGGACCCGCGCTTCAGCGAGAAGAAGCAGATCCCCTGCGTGGTCTCCATGCTGACCAAGGAGCTCTATTTCAACTGAGCGCCGCCAGCGCCGCCTCTTCAGGGCCGTCCACGCAGCAGTCCGAGAACCATTCAGGGATCATTCCGGCCCGGCGGGAACAAGCGCTCCACTTTTCACAGCGCCTGTCCAGTGGGCCCGAAACGGAATCTTTTTACACTGGCACTCCGCATTCACGTGTTGATAGTGAAACCTCTTCTTCCCCCCCCCCTCCCCCTCCATCTTCTTCAGGTTTTTCTTCACAACAGTGGCGTCACGTTTGATCGTATCTTTGCCAGCAGGCATCGTGAGATATGCATGTTCTTCTACTCCCATTTCACTTTTGTTGCCGCACTTGTCGCTGCCATTTTCTTGTGCCCATCGTCTGCGCAAAATGACCACAATGAGAGTGTGGTTTCAATCCTGTTCATGCGCTTGGCTAACATTTTACGACCAAAAAAAAAAAAAAAAAAAAAAAAAAAC